TTTTTTTTTTTTTTTTTTTTTTTTTTTTTTTGGGACCTTACCTGGTCCTTGCAAGGGCTGGCCACCCGGGACCCGGGCGGCCCGGCTGGTAGCCCAGTTTTGTTTTTATTTTTTTCGCCCCAGCCGGGCAAGTGACCCCGGGCAACTCGGATAGCCTAGAAAAAAAACGAAAAAAAACTACGTGATGGAGAAGAAGAAACTACACAACTTTTGCCCGAGGATTACATAGAAATTCTCTACCAGATTTAAAATAAAAATAAATTTTGAAAATACTTTTTTCCCCCGACCGGGCAAGTGGCCCCGGGCCACTCGGGTAGCCTAGTTTTTTCCCCCCAATTTGTTTGTATTTCAAATGCAAGCTTTCTTCTGCTCGTATGGGGAAGCAGTTGCATATTAGTAGTATTTTAGTACGCTGTATTATTCACTCAGATATTCCTCACACTACATTATTCCCTTGCTACCCTATCTATGCCATATTCTTGCCCTGTGGATATGCACTTTACTAAGTTACTAACTGCCGGCTTTTTATTTTCTTGTGTTTTTGTATGTAATTGTGGTTTGCAGGTTATGTTTCAGCTAAAGTCGTTGTTCCTGATGAATGTTTTGAAATATTTCCAGATGGTAAAAAAAGGACCCCTTTGTTTGTTGTCTTTTTTTTTTTTTTTTTAACCCGCACTCTCTGGTGCCCAATCCATTTCGAGGCGTTGCGATCCAGTTGCTTACCACCGACAAGCATATGACAAGATGAACAATGCTTTTTTAAAGAGAAATGAAAACTTCCCCCTAAGCTTCCACTATTGTGGTACGAGGTGACCGGGAAACTCTATTTGGTAGCTAGTCATCACCTCCATGATCCACCCACTTAGGCCCCCGCACCCCCTTCCCCCCATCCCTCCGTCTTCCTTCCGTATGTAATCACACTATCTGAGATAATTTCCCGTATGTTCCCTTTTGTTCCCTCACAAGTTCCCTCATGCGGTGTTTCAAGGGGAATCATTCATGAGCTTACTCACATCTGTGTCATTTTTCCTTTGTCTGCTGTTTTAAGGACTGATTTTGTGCATGTTCCATTTTCTCTCCGTTGTTTCTGCTTGTCTGTGTGGCAGGTATCCCGCCTTCACCGTCCATTGAAAATCTTTGATTCCAACTTCTGTGGCTGCATGCAATGACAGGTGTCCAGGATCTAGAGGCCTAGTTCGTGGAATTAGTTGATATGTCAGAGAAGATGACACCCTGTAAGAAAAAGTTGATCTACTTCTTGTAGATTTTCACTCTTTTTCCTTAAAGACAAGGGAACTTCGAGACATCATTAGGAGGGAATCAGAGTCTGAGGAACGAGAAGACAGGGTTGGGAGGGAGCTTCACAGGGTTGGCAGGGTGTGCGGGGAATCTCAGTGTAGCAGTTCTAAGAGGACACATGCCAGCAGCCATGTGCTACACATCAAACTGGTCTGCTGCCGAATGCCGGTGGAGGGGGGGGTTGTGGGGGCAGAGAGAGAGAGAGAGAGAGAGAGAGAGATTGACAACAGTGTATGATGTAAGGGACACTGGGTGCAGTTCCCAACTTATAATTGATATAGTTCGTTTTTAAAAGCAAAATTCCAAAAAATGATTTGTATTGCTACTTCTACATGTCTTCTTTTCCCTTTTCTGATTTTACAAGCAACAGGCTGCTTCTGCTACTGCATCTCCTCTTACAGCAGCTGCCAGCCACTGAGATTGTCCTTTCAATCCGGGCCGAAAATTCATGGCAAGTGTCCGGCCGCTTCTTTTTTTTAACTGTAGAAAAAGTCGTAAACAAATTTTTGAATTATAAAAGTTCCATGTGTTTGAAAAAAAAAAAAAACCCTTTCTCACACTTCAAAAAAATTTTTTTTTCCCTCTTTTGTTTGTCTTGAAATGCCCCTATATTTGTTACGGACATCCCCATGCTTAGCACAGCAGTACGCGTATACGTCGGCAAACAGGAAAAGTAGGGTACAGGGTCTGGGTATAGATGCAAGACTAGGGTACATGGTCTGGGTATAGACGCAAGTTGGGCGCTCAACAGGGTATAGCGGGGATTCCCATCTTTCACTGGGGTACAGATGCCATTTTCCCCCCCAAAAAATGAAAAAAGGGTGGTACAGGAGCAGCTCACTGGGCTGGACCTACTGCCAACAGATGGAACAAAAAGGAGGCCGTTGTTTCTCGTTTTCACTCATGTTTTCCCTCATGTGCCATCCCACACCTGGCCATAATTGCAGTCAGATACATTCAGGAAAGCTGCTACGGGTGGCCTGAGTATACCCTCAAATGAAACGGGTGGCACTGAATGACTTCCTCCTCACCTCTCTCACAGCAATGAGGTGCGTAGTGACTTTTTTTTCTTTTACAAATTTATTTTCTCTTTTTTTTTGTGTGCGGTAGCCACCCGGGAGTGACTTCAGAAAGAGCAGAGATTCTTCTTTTTGTTATTAAAAAAAAAGGATGGAAGAAGAACAGGAGGGCGAGAGAGAGAGAGAGAGAGAGAGAGAGAGAGAGAGAGAGAGAGAGAGAGAGAGAGAGCACTTTTTCTACTGAGCTCTAGACATTATTGCCATCAGATTCATCCAGGGTTGGTCGTAATTGCAGTCAGATACATCCAGGAAAGTGGAAGTTTGAGTGTGCCCTGAAAATGCCTAGCCCTTTCCTGAATGTATCTGGCTGCACTTACGGCAAGGCCTGGATGAATCTGATGGCAATCACGTCTAGAGCTTTGGGCCTGATCCCACAATACTTGCTGTTAAGTAAAAAGGAGTGTTTGAATCCTTTAAAAAAAAGAAAAAAAAAGGAGTTTTTGAAGGGATCCCAACGGTTTCCGTAGATGTAGGGAGCTCCCCCAGCGACGGGGCGTTGTGGAAACATTGGATGTCGTGTCGCTTCGGGAGCACACGGCAACGAAAAAGATTGGGGGGGCATTGGAAAAGAGGTCGACCCGTACCCTCTCCCCAAAAAGAAGGTGCATTTTTTGTGGAATCTCGGCCCACCCGGTGGTGCACGCCCAAAAAAAAACGCCGCCATTTATGTAAAAGTTCCGTGGGGTCTATTTTCTTTTACGTCCCATCCGCCCCTCCTCCTTGTTTTTCGTTACTCTTACGGTTTTACTTATGGTAAGTACTGTGGGATCAAGCCCTTAGTAGTAAAACGAAAAAGAAAGAAAGAAGAAGAAGAAAACCAGCGGGCAAGGTGTCTGACATAATTCCCTCCCGCCTCTCACGGCAAAGAGGAGGGGGGGTGTAGTGACTTGAGAAAAGAGCATAAAAAGCAGGCAGGGACTATTTCTACTAAGCTCTGGACGTGATTGCCATCAGATTCATCCAGGCCTGGCCGTAATTGCAGGCAGATATATTTACCAATGCGAACTTTTTTTTTTTTTTTTTGGCGGGGGGGTCTGCCAACGTCTGTGTCCGTGCATGTGGAATCCAGCAGGAATGAAGGAAAAAAAATAAAAATCCAGCAGGACATCCTGCAGTCCATTTGCCCCTTTTCCTTGGGCCCACGGTCTTCCTTCCCCCGGTTGCACAACCGGGGCTTGTGAAAATGGGGAATGTATTTTTGCCACCTTCTCCTGCAAAATATACTTGCTGTTTCCACATTTGGCTAGTAGTGGAACGAGGCCCTAGCTTGAGCGAGCGTGATGTATACTATCTTCTCTCGTGCGGTTGCTGACATAACATTAACAGGCGCGTTCCCCTCTCTCCCTTCTCCTCCCTGCCTCCTTTCCCTTACCGCCCCCCCTTTCGCTTCCCCTCCCCGCCTCCTTCCCCTTACC